CCCACGCCACGTGGGTTTGTCTCTGGAGGTCGTTTGATCATTTTCTGAGTTGCGGTGCCAGCTACGCACGCCTGTCATCCAGCACTGTTGAGATGAGGGTTGGTGGATTGTGCAAATGTTGTGAAACTTCCTACCCATGGGCGTCGAGGTGTCACCCATACCCTGAAGGCAGTACAGCAAAATTCCGACTTATAAAATTGTTTGTCCCTCCCCATATAGCAGTTTTGTCACCTCACATATGTGTGTTTTCTCAGGGTACTCGCCACTGATGTTAACCGTGACCGGGAATTGAACTCAGGTAACCGGGTAGTGAGCAATATGGCTAAACAGGGCACACATACACCGATGACAACAGAAATATAAGCTGAGGCATGGACTGTATTGCGAGCATGAACAAATTATTTCATTAGTGATTTGATGTTCCATTCATGGTTAATAAATGACAAATGACAGTTTAATTTTGAAATAAGTGCATCTTTATGAGAATAGGTTTTCCACTTTTTTCTGGTGTGGACTAATCAGTTTCAAAGACAATGCATATATTATCAGAGTATGTTTTTTGTTTGCAGTCTTAATGCACACATGATTCGTTGTAAAAGGTTTCAGTTTGGTGTTTAAACATCTTAACACCTGTTTTGTTGCCAGAAAAAAGGGGAAAACCTATTCTCATATTTTGGTACTGGCAAAGGAGGTCCCATGATGCATCTTTATACTTCAAACTTATACTGATCCATCTTACTCTTTTGTTTCAAAATACAACACGTAAGACGAAGGCAAAGCTCAATATTACAATATTTCATCAATGTATTACAGAATGCGCATGCCACTGGAATGAAACTCTCCTGTCGGTGTCTTCAGCCAGCCGTAACTAAAGCGAGACAAACCTGACATGCCTACCTTGTTCATCGCGGAGATGGGCAGCCAACCATGCTGCCTCTGGGCCAGGTCGAGAACTGGGATGACAGCAGCTGCCTTGTGCTCAGCAGGGTAATTGCCAACGATCACCTCAATTCGCTGCACGACACAATTACATAAACACTTTATACGTCAAGAAAAATGGTACGGTTACAACTGTGACTATTTTGAGAATCGGTCGGCCATTAACATGGTTGTACACGCAATTTGGTGGCCATGCCACGAGACTGAACCAACGGTGACAATCACTCGTTTGACTGTCTAGAAATAACCTTATGTATGAGAGCTCCTACTCATTTCTATCCTGCACTCACGTTTCTGTCCGATGCGTTTCTCATCATTGACAGCAAGTGTTAGAAGTTGTTTCTAAGTAATATGTGTATTTCAGATACATTTCTCTAAAATACTAAATAATGGGCCCATTAACCATCCACTTCCCCCCCTCCCCCACTCCTACCCCCGTGATTACATGAATTTGTATGACTTGATTAAAAACCCAAATACTTTTTTATTTAGTTTGTATTGTCCTCTTGTTTTCTGTATCGTTAATTGCATCTCATTTGTTTCGTTTCATACAATTATTCGAAATGTAACATGAGCATATCACTTTTAGAAATCAGAAGCCATTCTTAAACACAGGATTTGATTCACTGATTGTTACATGCGTACAATACAGCAAATGTTTGTCAAGATTTTTCTCCATCGTAATTCCATTCCATTTGTGTAATCTCATAAGGCAACAGAAAAAAAACAACTGCAAACCCTTAAGAGCAATCAGTGCACCACCTTGTGTCTGAACGGCCCAAAAAGATGACAATGCAAAACTATTTCAGAAATATTTTCAATGGGTCTGTTCAGCCACACTCATGAAATGCATTTTACATGTTAAACCATTTGTTTTTCAATCAAAGCAAGACTTTAACCTATTTAACCTAAACTATTTTTCTTTCATCAGGTAAGGCCCACTGAGCTATACAGATCTTTTTCCCAAGCAACCTGGCCACAAATGATAGATATCCCAATGAAGTGGCTTATCATGTGGAAATTTATAGTAGTAGCCAAATATTAAAAACCAGTAGTTCTTAGCCTAGGGTGCACGCATCCCCTGGCGGTGCGAGAGGCCCTTTCTGAGAACCAATGGGGTGCAGGCTGCAGTAAAGGTGAAGAACCACCACTCCAAACGCACGTTTCTAAATTTGGAGGGAAAACTGGAGGGCCCGGAGAAAAATCCATGCGACTACGGGGGGCGGGGGAGACATATAAACTCCATGTCTACGGGGGGGTCGGGATCAAACCCATGCCCTCCTGTTTACCAGGTGAGGTAGTTAACATCTCGCCACCGTGGCACAACTCAGAGCAACCACCAATTAACTTGGTTCACCTTGTAGTTTTCAGAGGTGAAGTCAAAGGGCGTGTTGAGGTTGTTCTCGGCGGAGTCCCTGTGCTGGATGGATAACAATTAAGTGGAAATCACATGTTAGCAACATGTCAACGACGTTAATAAAACACAAATCCTAGCGACTGCACTGTGTACAAAATGCACAAAAGACACTGCACTGTGCCACAATTGTGATGAAAAACATTAACTTCTACCTGAATATAACAACAGAGTATTGAGAGCTCGGGGTAAGCATTTACACTATGAGACATCTCCTTTACCAGTGGCTATTACTATATTTTGCCACTGGTAAAGGAGATGTCTCATAGAGTAATGGTCGACCTGATGCAACCACGAGGCTTGGTTTGTTGTCCTTCACCCACACTGCCGATTAGCACGGTTGGTTCGGTATGGTGCGAAAGAAGTTCAACATACACTACATACATCTTGGCCGACACCTCGGCCTCTTCCACTCACGAGGTTCACAAACGTAAAACTCGTGGGCACTGAGAAACAGGTATCGACGTTGGCATGATACATTTTCATTTATATTACAAGAGTGTGATCGATATGTGGTTGTGCATTTTTGCATAGCAATTGTACACCACTGCCAATGGAAACCTTTATATTTTATTTAAAGAGAAAATTGTTAGACGTTTCTTGACACCGAATTCCAGCGAATGCATTTGCGGCCACCGCACTGCAGAGTTTCGCTCACCACGAAGAGACTTCCGCCACTCTGGACAGCAGCCGAGCGGCAGATCCCTCGCACCTGCTGGATCTGCCCACCACATACACAGCGCGGGAGTTAAGATCCAACTCCCCGAGTCATCGGGGGTTATTGGGCGAGATTGGTGGCCCACATAACACAAAAACACACAAAATGCAAAACAAATATAAATCCCGTTTTTTTAGTTGTTTACATGACATAGAATGGGGATAAAGACGTAGAACGCGTGCAATGTTTTTTATTGGTTCGTAAATTAATCGGTTTACTTGCCGACATACGTGAGGTTAAGGAGCAACTGTGACACTGACCCTGACGAGTGAGGTGCAGCTAATCATGAATTTGACAACCGTGCGTGTGAAAGGTGAGAATATGAGCATGTTATCCTGCAACCCTAACAAACCACCCACATGTATTCATCATTGTGATATTTATAATTCTCGGAAGCTAAGCAAGTTTGAGCCTGGATTTTGCTTGGATGGGTTGCCCACACATCACACAGGTGTCAAATTATGGGGCTAAGCTGTGGGCAATAGACGGCGGTGCGTTAAATCATATGTTGTACTGTACTGTGAGTCTATACTTTCATGTCTATGCTCTCCACTGCCACCAACCCGCAGACCAGCATGAAGTATGGCCAAATCACTCCTACAATCTGTGCACACATCGGGGGGAGGATCTAATCCAGAAGTGTTAATTAAAGGCTTTCAAAAATAATGTGAACGATTTACTCAACAGAATGCATCATCACCTGCCCCTACCGGACATCTGTGAAAAAGAGCTTTATAGCTCATTGGATTCCTCCAGTGTAAATAAAGACTGCGATTTTAATTTCTGAGCAGATAGACAAAAGGCTGTATCGTACATGCACACAGTCCAATTGTACTCGCGGTATCGTATCATGCGATGACGAGATATAATTTAGGAAATCTGGCAATGAGTAGTGTGAAATGTCTGAATGGTCCCAGTGTGTGTGTGGTGGTGGAACGGTGGCGCAGTGGTTAGCGCACTCCGCTACGCACCCGTGGCGACCCGAGTTCCAATTCGAGACCACGGCTAACATCAGTGTCGAGTGACATCGATAACCGAGCCGTAACGACCAGCGTGGTGAAGTATGGACGTCGATTACACAGGACCCACAGGGCATGGGCAGGTCTTCATCAACCAGTGTATTGACGACGAGTGGCACATTCATCTTATTTGTATTTGAATACCGTATCACAGGGCAGTCTAACCAAAGCGACGCTTGTGTGTTCAATCAGCGCAGCACTCAAAAAGTGTCAATTCCACATTTACATGGGCGGGTGCCAGTCCATTCACTAGTGAGCTAAGACGCCCAATGTTACACTCGTTATAGACACATATATACGTGTGAATTAATGCTTTTACAATGCGTGATATTGTAGTAGTAGTCGTAGTTATTGTAGCCAGTGTTATGATTATCAGTAGTAAGTTAATACTATACACTGTTAAGCTGTTTTCACTGTCCCGGTCACCCTGTCAACAGCAAGGTCAAACAACACAACGCATTTCAGTCACCGTTCGCGCTGCCAGACACCGCGCGGAGAACGCCGCCAATGACATCTTGACGGCCGTGTGCGGTATTCGTTGTGTGATAAAGAATAAAACTAAAAAGTTGTTTAAATCTTCTTCGTTGAAGTTTGTCACTTAAACGCCGCGCCCGCTCTAGCTGAGCGCGCAGGCCGCACGGGGAGGGAAGGGGTCCTCGCGGAGGGGTCCTCGCGGTCGCCCTCATTTAGGCGCCCCGCGCGCTTCTCGGCTGCGCCTGCGCGCCTGTTTCGCGCTCTTCACCCGCTTATTATTGCATTTAAGAACGCTTTACGATATGTAAATGTTATCATAATTGAGTACCTTTTTTTTTTAAATAAATCACACAGTTTTTGAGCTAATTATAAACTATTTTTTAAAGTATGTGAACGGTTGCCGTGGCAACGGTCTGTGTGTGTGTCTGTGCGGACAGCTGTCAAAGGTGATGCTGCTCTCTCCGTGTTTCAATCGCTAACATTATTTTTTTTTAAGCCTTATAAGTTAACAAAGTACAACTTTTACACATTCACATTCAAAACACACACCGCGGTGTCCGCTATTGCCGTTCGAAGTGTAACTTTTGGCCATTGTGACATTTAAATATCCCTGTAAGTATGCAGTACTCAATCTTGATTTCGTTTTTTTCGGTAAATTCACGTCGGTAGTGATTTATTTTATACCTACGTGACTTTACCGATAGAACTAAAGCGTGTACAGTACTCGTATGCCGTGGTGTAGTGAACGCAGCGGCCTTGCAATCCAGCGAGCGGTCGCCTCGTCGACATCCCAAAACAAATAGGGCCTCTGTCCTCCACCCAGCAGTGTGAATGGGTCACTCTGCAGTCCGTATACAGGAGGTCGTGGGTTTGACCCCGACCCTGACGCCTGCTGCTGTATATTTGGAGTTTGCGTGTCTCTCTCTCATCATGATCACGGTGGCTAGGAGATGTTAACTACCTCGCCTGGTATACAGGAGGTCGTGGGTTTGATGCCGACCCTGACGCCTGCTGTATATTTGGAATGTGTGCGTCTCTCTCTCATCATGATCACGGTGACTAGGAGATGTTAACTACCTCGTCTGGTATGCAAGAGGTCGTGGGTTCGATCCCGACCCTGGCGCCTGCTGCTGTATATTTGGAGTTTGCGTGTTCGTTCTCCCCGTGGTCACGTGGATTCTTCTCCGGGCCCTCCGGTTTTTCTCTCCACATTTAGAATCAACATCACGCGTTTAGAATATTTGGCTGCGGCTATAAATTTCTATATGACAAGCCGCTTCATTTAGCAATAATTTATGACCAGGTCGCTTCTGAAAAACAGCTGTATAGCTCAGTGGGCTTTACCTGGTAAAATACATTTACATTGTTTCGTTTTATAACCTCTAGAGTGCATAGCTCCAAGTGGTTACCTTATATCGGAAGAGCGTTCCAGACGGCCACAGAAGCGCATCTGAAAGCGTGCGATGCGGTGACCGTTTTTGTTCGATGGCCAGCCAAATCCGCTGCTGCGAGGATTACCGGAATTCGCGTGATGGCTTATGCTCCTTGACGAGATAAGCAGGGTATTGCGGTTCATTTGTGGCAAACATTTTGTGTAAAGAATGCAACCTTATGATATATTATTTTGGCAAACGAAAGCTAATGTAGCTCGGCGACCACTTGAAGGACATGGCCGGATCTGGCTGTCTCCGTCACGACACGTGCCAAAGAATGTTGTACACCCTGCAGCTTAGTAATCGTTTTTGCCAGACATCCCGTAGAGTAGTGAGTTACAATAATCGAGCCTTTCGATACTGTGCTGCACGAGGTGAGCTGGGAAAGCCAGGCAAGTGCAAGTCTGAATATGACTTCTTCCTTTTGGTCTTGTACAAAGGCAATTCAAGTATACAAGTATTCATAGCTCGGTTTGAGCGGTTATAAAAACAATACATCTATTATCAGAGCATGTTTGTTTGCATGTTTTGCCACAAGTACGTGTGGTTAATGCAGTCTTGATGCCTTGCAAAAGGTATCTATTTGGCGTTTGAACATCTTAACACCTGTTTTATTACCATGAAGGGTAAAAAAAAGAACTACTCTTATCATTGTCATACTTTGATACCGACCAAAAAAATGTCCCATAGATGCAAATGTGAAGGATCCACGAGGCTTTCAACTCTGCACTGTGCGGCAGCAGCACTCATGCAGTGGATCTGCAGCAAGGACCGCCAGCGCTGCATGATCAGCCCGAGGCCACCGCCACCGCACGGCCGTTGCTCGAAAACTCGTCGGCAAGCGTCGGAGCCGCGCGCCCTCCTGGTTGACTCCGGGGAGCTGGTCGACCTGCCGGGCTGTCACCGCGACACTCGCGTGCGGCAGGTGAAGGAGCTCCTGGAGATCACAGCCGGAATCCCGAGTGACCTCCAGCGGCTGAGCTACCTGGACGAAGGTGATTGATACTGCGCGTGCGTGGCGTCACCTCGCGAGATGGGTGGCTACGGCCAAAGGAGAGATTTCGTGGTGGCACGGTGGCTCGGAAGACTGACATTGTTTATCTGCTTACCCACCTACGCGTATACCCACTTAACCTACCTCCTCGTCCATCGCCACCCACTCGTCCCAAATTTTCATTCCTCACAGGAGACCTGGCAGATGAGGCCACCCTGTGCTCCCTGGACACAGTGGCAGGGGCAACGCTGGGCGTGCGCGTGTGGCAGCATGACGGCTGGCACCGGCTGGTGGCGGCTGCCCTCCGGGGAGACCCAGAGGTAGGAATCCACTTCCGTGGTGTGTCACCACCTGATGCCCCTCGATCTTACCCGTGGACAAAGTAGACGCGTCAATGAGTCAGTTGAGTTCTAATTATAATAACAACCAATCTCTTGCCTTACCTCGAAGCCTAACTAGCACTAATCCTACAACTGACACGAACTTGAACCCTATCCCATCCCTTATCATTTCACCCAGCTGCCATTTCAATTTTTTTACGGGTTTTTTCTCCCAATTACAGTGTGCCCTCGAGATACAGGTTTACATCGCTTTGTGGGGTAGATGCGTTTCAAAAAGAAAACGGTGTGCAAAGCGAAATCACAAAGCGTATACAACACGCACACACACGCAACGTTGTCCCACGCCCGACCGCAGGGCCGCATGTGAGTGAATTCAAACCGCTTACGGCGAAATTTTGGCAGAATTAGGTTAGCAGCATATACGCGAGATCGCACAAACTAAACCCGCGTTAAACGAGAGAAACTTTTACTGGACCAAGTCAGGGGTGGTGTGCCCTGGTATATATATAACAAACAAAACCATTGAGACAACCAAATGTTACAAGATCATTCTTTGACGCACAATCCAATGCTATAGTAGTCTAGTTACTGCACTATACAGAACGGAATTGGGACTGCCTGGCACGTGACATTCTGTGCAGCATGGAAAGGCAGCCAGCGGAAAGTCAGCATTGCTTGGCATGAAGCGAGAAAAAATTGCTTTGGGAGTGCGATTTTTTTTCTTTAGGTCCCCCATTAAAAAATAAACACCCCAGTTACGCGTGGGCACTGCATCCACCGACGTAAAATTCCGACGACACACTCGATAGCGGCACTCGCGTTTCTTTGAATACCAGCTCACTCGGCCTGCGCGCAAACATTCCCCCCCCTAATCGCCTCCCGGCCCTAGGTGCTGCGTCTGGGAGTGACGGACGACCTCAGCTACGGCGACTTCCGCACCCCGCACGCCGCTCGTCTGGCAGCCGCCGACCTCTCGGCGTGGCGCTCTCGGCGCGCGTTCGTGGCGCTCTTCGCCGCCGCGCACCGTAACCACGCCGGCCTCGTGGGGCTCTTGCTCCGGCACGGTGAATGTCACACGCCGGCAGGGGGAGGTACAGCAAAAACCCGCGACTCCCATTCGCACAGTTAGCTACGTACGGTGCGGCAGAAAGTTCAACATACGTACGTACAAGCCGCCACGCTCTGGGAAGCATAATGAGACCAGTCAAGGTAGCAAGATGATAACTCCCTCGCCTGACATACAGGAGGTTGCGGGTTCATTCCTGACCGCATGTTCTCTCGCCCGGTGGTCGTGTGGACTTTTCTTTGGGTCCTCCCGTTTTGCCCTCCACATATAGAAACATGCGTTGAGATTAGTTGGCGAGTATAAATATTCCACATGATATAAGCCACTTTGATGTGTGGCCAGGTCGCCTTTGAAAAAGAGCCAATAGTTCAGTGGGCGTTACCTGGTAAATAGTAGAAATAGTTTTGCTGAGAGGTTAACACAAACTCTGCTAGTATATCAAACATCTACTTGTACAGGCTGTTGTCAATCCACTGCTGGATGAGGGCCTCCTTATGCCTTGTGGCTTGTGGAGATAATTGGACCATTCTTCCCTCTGCTGGTCTGTGTGGATTGGTGAGGTGGGGTGCATATACATTGAAGCATGGTACTTTAAAACTGTATTGTGATGCATTGCCTTCTATTGAAAACGTATATATATGTGGACATAGCAGCGAGATAGGCAATGACATGGCCAAGTGGTAGCCTATTCGCCGCTTTTTGACTCGCGGTTAGAATCCAGCTGCCGCCCTGATTATTACTGGGGGGTGTGTAATAACCATAATATGCACCGCGTGCCTTTGAATGGATGTTAAAGATCCTGTGATGTAACTCGCAAGAGTATGCCATTGCGTCAGGGTCCACATTATCCTCAATCGAAAATGGCACGCAATGAATGAATCAATTGGGATTATCCGTAGCAACCATTGCACCCCCTGGCCCGTTTGCAGGCCAGGTGCTGAGTCATCTTGTGCCCACAGAGACATCTGTCACTTGGGGTGCCCTATCAATGTTTGAGACATGACAATGACGATGGTCTGCGAGACGCTACATCAAACAAAAACTATAATCATTCCACAAATGCCCTTTGCCCGTCACTCCCCATCGTGCATGCAGGCGCAAGCGCGAGCGCCACCACCCCTTGCGGCCGCACGGCCCTGCACGCGGCGGCCGCCAGCGGCAGCCTCGAGGCCTTGCACAAGCTCCTGCGGCACGGCGCCCCCACGGACGCCCGCGATGCCGCGGGGCTGACGGCGCTGGAGCTCGCGCGCCGCTGGGCTCCCCGCAGCGCCGGCGCGGACCACGCGATCTTCCGCTTCGTGTGGCACGAACGGGCGCAGGCGATGCGGCCGCCACCGACGTGGCTCGACCCCGAGGAGCTCATGGCGCACCAGCGCTTCGACTCGGTGCTGCGCACCACCTTGGACGGGCGGCGAGCGCAGAGGTACCAGGCCTGCCTGCTGCCCGTGTGTCCCGCCAGGGGGCCGGCGGGACAGGGACGGGGTCGCGGGGGCAGGAGGATGGGGAGGCCCTCGGGGAAGAGTTCACGTCGGTGAGAAGAGCTGTCGTGGGCAGGCGCGGCGAGCGTGGCTGTAACTGCACCGACTGTGTGTGGGTGTGCCTACGTTGGACTTCTTTCGCACCATACGTAGCCAACCGTGCTTATCGGCGGTGCGGGGGAAGCAGAGCAACCTAAACACAAACAGCAGTTCTCAAGAAATTCGTTTTCAATCTATATTTAAAAGTGCATTGCTCCAGTCAGTGGCTTCCTAATGTCGGAAAGGAAGAGCTTTCAGATGCGCAGAAGTGCATCTGAAAGCACGCGATGCAGTGACGGTGTCTCTGATTTAGCAGTGCGGTCAGCTGCACCACAACACAATTTGGAATGACACATGGCCGCAGGTTTGCCCACCACTAGCGGAGGCCGTTAAACTCCCAAACACAGAGAAAACCCTCTTTAGAAAGGACCCTGCCAAAACATTGCAATGCAGAACGCGGCTGACCGATTTGGGCTGGAGACTTATTAAGGCCTATCAGAATGGCATATTATTATTATTATACAGGTGATACATAAAATGTACCTTTCACGATTATAGAAGAATTATAATGAGACAGAAGTTGGAGTTGGAGTGATACAACATGCACGTATCTCTCTTAACTCTTTGGCCTCTTTATGTGCCCCAAAAGCTGCATTTAATGTACTTTCTTTTCTTTTTAAAGCATGTTGTTATGTTTTGTAACTTGCGCTTGTACACACACTTGGTCGAATGATTTGTTTTCCAATTCGTTGCATTCATCCAAACCCACAAAGCATTGTGGCGAGATTTAATTGTTTTGAGATGTTATGTTGTATGTTGTTAAAGATCACTGGGGCTTTTTGGTTTTAAATAACCTGCGTATCTAAGGAACGTGTTATCAACATTTTAATTATGATTACCCCTTTCAAAATGCTGTCTAATGACAACTCTTTAACAATCTATGATACATGTATGGACACCCTGTACGATCTAATGTTTTCTCAAAATGTTCGTGATATTTTTGTTTAAGAGCTCAAAAGGCGCGTTACCCGCTCTCCCACAGTTTATAATCTGACAGACCAATGTGTTACAGTGGTTTGTAGATGATTGAATGAGACGACTGGCATCTCATTCGGCACACCAACACATACCTGTCAACCCCTTATCAGTGCCTACCTTATTACAGACCAATTTATGCCCTTATAAATCTCAACGTTCATCCTGTAAAGTCCCATCACAAGGGAGAAACACAGATGTAGGGGTGTCAGGGGAAGGATTCCCACCAATAGATGGGTTAGTGGGAGGGGTGATCGAAGAGATATAAGGAGAGAACGGGCGGGAAGAAGGGGCCTTTGGCGGGAACGAGATTGGGACGGCTGGGGGACAGGTGTGGATGGAAGGGAAGGAATAAAGGACGAGACCCCTGCAATCTGGTGTCGGCTCCTACTTTACATCTGGTGGCAGCGGTGGGATCTCATGGCTACAAAGAAAAATCCCCGCGGGAAAGAGCCAAGGGAGGAGGAAGCAGGGGCCGGGGATCCTTCCCATCCCGGGCAACAAGGGGGCCTGCTATCAGAAGCAGCAGCAGGGGGCCCGGATCGCCTGGAGGACCCCATGGAGGACCGCATGGCCCGCGTGGAGAGGGCACTCCAGGAGCTCCTACAGAGGCTCCCTATGGGGGACCCGCCAGCACCGGGACCCCCACCCCCACGCGTACTACGGGAGGAGAGGCCACGGGACCCGGAGGCCGACCAGCCGGCCGGGCAACCAACCTCGTCACGCCAGCCGCCGCCGGTCCCGCCAAAACCCCCAGGGCTAACCATCCAACAGGGAGAGCAGGTGGCCGGACGGCCGCGTCGGCTGGGGCCCGTCGACAAGTTCGTGGCTGAGGAAGAAGACTGGGAGGAGTTTGTCCGCCGATTCGAGGCTGCCTTCCACGCTCTCGAGTGGACAGACGAAGAGGCACTACGAGCGCTGCCATCCGTTCTGGGCAAGGAAGCACTCGCCTCTTACACCTCCCTTCCCTCGCACAGCAAGACCACGCTACAGGCGGCCTACGAGGCTTTGGGGGAGATCTATTGCCCGGCGGAAGGAGCCTTTAAACGGTTCCAGGATCGCCAGCGAGGGGCTAAAGAATCCCCTTTATCCTACAGGGGTGCACTGCTCGTGTTGGCGAGGAGAGCTTTCCCTCGCCTGGCTGAAGAAGCGCTCGAGGATCTCGTGGTCGAGCACCTCATCGCCTACGCTTGCCGCGCCGGCGTTGTAATGCCCGTGGTGACGCCGGGGGAACGCACCTCGCTGTGGGCTGCCCGGACCATCCAAGCCCACGAGCAGGTCATGGGCCGGGCGCCACCCGTGGGCCCGATAGCTGGCGCGGCGGGGGGGAACAGCCGAGCCGTTGCCGCGGCGCTACTGGGTCCAGCGACACCAACCGCCGAACCTGCACCGTCGCCACAGGCTGCCTGTGGAGCAGCTGGGGACGGACCCCCGACGTCTGAGACGGAGCCATCGCTACGGGAGGTGTACGCGGCGATCCGGGGACTGGCGGAGCAGAGGGACCAGGGGCGCGACCAACCGCCGCGTCGCTGGCAGCCGCCTCTACAACATCGCGCCGAGCCCCCCCGACGGAACGCCCCGTGGGTCTGCCACCGTTGTGGTCGAGAGGGGCATGTGGCGAGGGGGTGCCGCACAGAGCCGGAGGCCGCCAACGTCACCTGGAACCCGCCGGGGCCGAACGCCGACAGGATCCAGGCGAGTGACACCGTCCCGCCCGGCCTCTCGGTCGGGCCGAGCAATTATAATTCCGACGCCGCGAACTTACCGGGAGTCTCCTCGGGGTGGGCGCCGTCGGTGTCGTTCCCCGGTCCCCATTGTCCGGGTCGGGGGAAGGGGATCGCGCCGGGGATAGCGCCGGGGACTGGGATTGCGTCGCGACCAGGGGTGGCGTCGCGACCCGGAGTGGCGTCGCGAACGGACGTGACGTTGCATCCGGGAGTGATGTCGCGGCCAGGAGTGGTGTCGCGGATCGCGCCGGGAATTGCGCCGGGGCCGTGGACCACGTCGGGGATCGCGCCGAGGCCGGAGACCGCGTCGGGAGTCGCGCCGGGGCCGGAGACCGCGTCGGGAGTCGCGCCGAGGCCGGGAGGGACGTCGCGGGCGGACGTGACGTCGCGGGCGGAGGTGACGTCGCGGGCGGACGTGACGTCGCGGGCGGAGGTGACGTCGCGGGCGGAGGTGACGTCGCGGGCGGGCGTAGTTTCGCCGGCGGGCGTGACGTCGCGGGCGGGCATGACGTCGCCGGCGGGCGTGACGTCGCCGGCGGGCGTGACGTCGCCGGCGGGCGTGACGTCACCAGTTGCCTGCGACGCCGGCGAGTTGCCAGGGGCAACGGCCCGGGGGCGGAGGCAGCCCACAAGATTGACAGTGCGCCCTGGAGCAGTTCCACGGGCCGCCTCACCACCGCTTTGCGGCAGATTGAGACGGAACCAGGGGGACCACGCCCCCGTGACAAAGGGAAGGGAGGGGAGAAGGGAGGGGCTCACGGGAAGGCCCACCCCCCAGTCCCCACTGCCCCCTACAATGGGGGGGGCCCCCACACCACAAGGGGGGCCCATCCTACGTCACCAAAGGGGGGCAATTTGCACCACATAGAGAGCCCAGCCCGCAACCCAGGGGTAAGCCCACACTATGTAACAAGGGCGCGTTCACCCTGCTGCGACGCACTCCAAAGGGAGGAACCCCATCTTCAGTCCATTCACATCCATCCCCCATCATTTCACCATGCACCACAGGATAACGAGACGCCGCCTGGTCAGTGGCCGGACTCAGCCACACAATGGAGGAAGCTGGCAAGGCGGGTGGTAGCGGCCACGTCAGGAACCTCGGTCCTGGTCGGTGAAATCGCGGGAGTGTCGGCACGTATCTTGGTTGATACGGGGGCATCAGCCACGATCATCTCGAGCACCATGCACGAGATGCTGCCGGATAAAATCCGACCTTTAGTCCCCGTCAAGACAACGTTCATTGCAGCAAATGGAGGCAGCATGGGCTTACTGGGCCAGGTTGAAGCCCCGATACAGATTGGGCAGCTTTCGGTAGCAGGACCCATCCTTGTCTCCGCAACATTGCCCGTACCCTGCCTGTTGGGGACGGACTTTCTGAGGCGGATGCCAATGAAAATCGATCTGGCCAATGGGCGGGTGGAAGTCCAGGGAACGCATCTCCATTTCCTAAAGGCGGAGGGAGCCAGCCGGGGTGTACCCTACGTGCAGGCTCTGGTCAGTAAGTCTGTCTCCATTCCCCCGGCAGCCCAGATGCTGATTCCGCTGCAATATCGGTCTCCCCTCGTGACAGCCCGACCAGACTCACCCATCCTGGTGTCTCCGGCATCAGCTGCCATGGATCGCCATGCGCTGGTGGGAGCCGAAACTATTGTACAGAGGAACCAGCATCTGTTCATTCAGGTGCTGAACACCTCCGATAGAACAGCGACGGTGCAGGAGGGAACAGTTCTGGCCCACGTTAGTCCCTTGTCACTAGGAGCCCCAGGGACAAAGCCCGAGCTTGTAGGCAGCATCAGCCAGTCCGAGGACAGAGGGGCCGAATCGTGGATGGACCAGCTGGCGGGGCCTGAGCCGGGATTGCCGCCCGACCAGAAACAGCAGCTGCACTCATTATTGCATGAGTTCTCGGACGTGTTCAGCCGGGGACCGTTCGACCTAGGGCGCACAAATCTGTCGCAGCACCACATTAACACGGGAGATGCCGCACCCCTGCGCCAAAACACATATAGAATGAGCCCAATGGAAAAAGGGCACATTCAACAAGCGGTGCAGGAGATGCTGCGGGCCGACATAATTTCTCCATCCTCGAGTCCCTGGGGGGCACCGGTGGTCCTAGTCAAGAAGTCAGACGGGTCACTGAGATTCTGTGTGGACTTCCGACGCCTCAATGCCGTCACGCTGGCCGACGCATATCCCCAACCACGTATTGACGACTCATTGGATGCACTGGCGGGAGCAACATTTTTCAGTACGCTGGATTTATTGTCCGGGTTCTGGCAGGTCCCACTAGACGCGGACTCCCGGCCTAAAACAGCGTTCCGGACACCACAGGGCCTGTTCGAGTTCAACTGCCTGCCTATGGGCCTCCAGACTGCGCCGGCGACGTTCCAACGCATAATGGAGTTGGCCTTAGCAGGCCTCCAATGGGAAACGTGCCTCATCTACCTGGATGACGTCATTGTCTTCAGCCGATCATTCGAGGAACACATTGACCGATTACGTCAGGTATTCCTGCGGTTCCGGAACGCGAACTTGAAGCTCAAGCCGTCGAAGTGCCACCTTATGCAGTCGTCGGTACGCTACTTGGGCCACGTCGTCAGTGAGTCTGGAGTGGCTACAGACCCGGAAAAGACGGCCTGCGTGAGGGCCTGGGCTGTTCCCACAACGGTTCCAGAGGTACGCCGGTTTGTGGGTTTCGTTTCTTATTACCGCCGGTTCGTACCCAACTTCGCAACCATTGCCAAGCCCTTGCACGTGTTGACGGCGAAGAACCAGAGGTTTTATTGGGGCCCTCTGGAGGAAGAGGCATTCCAGCAGCTGCGATCACGTCTGACAGATGCACCACCATTGGCTTTTCCGGATTTTGGCCTCCCCTTTATCCTGGACACGGACGCCAGCGATGTGGGCATCGGCAGTGTTTTGTCGCAAGTCCAGCAGGGTCGCGAGGTGGTTATCGCCTATGGTAGTCGCGTGCTTTCATCAGCGGAGCAGCGCTACTGCGTCACACGTAGGGAACTCCTGGCAGTCGTTCACTTCGTGCAGCAATTTCGACCCTACCTGTATGGTCGCAAATTTACGGTCCGCACTGACCACGCGGCCTTGCAGTATTCGCTCCGCATCGACCAGCCTTCGGGCCAGCTGGCCAGATGGATAGAGCGCCTGCAGGAGTACAGGTACCAAGTAGTGCATCGCAAAGGGACCAGACATGCCAACGCAGACGCATTGTCCCGACTGGCGCCCCAGGGCCCTTGTGCATGCACCACAGGCGGGGCACGCTGCAAGGAGGCGAGGCCGGAGGGGACAGTCATCGCTCCCGTACGCACGGCGGAGGACGCACAGGGTGAGGTCCAGCTGACCGACCACGACCTGGGTCTGACCTTGGACGATTGGCGACGGCTACAGCTGGAGGAAGCCCCACTGCGAATGCTACGCGCCTCAGCAGAGGCAGGGGGGGAGGAGTACATCGTATGGGAGGACCTCCTCATGCGATGGGACCCGACAGGGCGCCGACGATGCCTGGTAGTTCCGGAGTCGCTGCGTCAACAATTGGTTATGGACGTACACGGCCGCCAGCTGCTGCACCTGGCGGGGCGGAAGACACTGTACACATTAGAGAGTCGGTACTTTTGGCCAGGTATGACCGCTGACGTGCATCGATGGGTCGCTACCTGCGTCGAATGTGCGCGGCGAAAGCCGCCACCCCGGGTAAGCCGGGCGCCCCTACAGCCCATCACGGTGACCAGGGTCAACGAATTGGTTGCGTTGGACATCCTGGGACCACTGCCGGTCACGCCACGGGGAAATAAATACCTGTTGGTCGGAGTCGAGTACTGCACGAGGTGGCCGATGGCGTGGGCCCTCCCGGACCAAACGGCACAGACCATCGCCGATGCCTTCGTGGGAGGCTATGTCCTTGATAAGGGGGCACCGGAGCGGTTGCTCACGGATCAGGGCAGGAATTTCTCCTCACAGCTATTGAAGGACGTCTGCTCTATCCTGGGCACTAAAAAGGTCCGAACATCTCCGTATCATCCCCAGACCGATGGGATGGTAGAGCGGCTTAACCGCACCATAGCGGCCATGCTGTCCCAAGTGGTGGACGAAAACCATTCCGACTGGGACCTCCACATTCCATCTGTCTTAGCGGCGTACAGGGTGGCCCCACACGCGGCGACGGGGTTCTCGCCGTTTTTCCTGATGTACGGACGGGATCCCGTTCCGCCTATTGAGGTGCAGTTGACGGACATTCCCGCAAGAGCCGACGCATGGCCGAAGGCACTAAAGACCTCCCTCATTTATTTGAGAGAGGCCCGCCAAGCAGCCGAGGCCGCATCGGCCACGAGCCAAGAGAGTAATGTACGGATACGGGAGAGGACAGTGACAGCCAAGCCCTTCAAAGTCGGGGACCAGGCATGGCTACACTGTCCTCAGGTGCCGGTTGGCCTCTCACCAAAGCTGCACCGACCCTGGAAAGGGCCAGTCGAGGTCATTAAAGCACTCCGACCGCAGTGCGTCCAGGTCCAACTGGATAAGCGACGATGGTTTGTACACCCCACCCGCCTTAAGCCATACATCTCTCCACCGTCATCTTCACCAACATCACCACCAACATCACTGCCAACATCATCATCATCCCTACCCAGGCCAAGGTCGCCGACCACCACGCGCCGACCGGCAGGGGGTTCGGTGCCCTGTGTTCCCTTGTCACCTACAGCACCCCATGTGAGGCCTGACGGAGCGGCGGCACGAGCGGGGGCCGGAGAGACAGCGGCGCCGGGCAAGGCGACACCGGCACCACCGAACCAGGGACCGCGACGAGAGGGCCTTCGAAGGAGGGGGCCGCCACGGTCATCTGCTGCCTGTGGATGTCCGGGCTGTTACGGGATGCTGGCTGGAGACCTGGGCAGGCCGTGCAATTGATTTCGTTGTGTTATGTTGCATTGTATGGTTGTGGGGGGGGTAAGGGCTGTCGTCACTGTCAGTGGGGGGAGGCATGGGGAGATTTAAATGGTCCATGGGGGAGGCAGAACCGAGGACGGTTATTTTTTCTCCGGGGGGGGGGGGTGATGTAGGGGTGTCAGGGGAAGGATTCCCACCAATAGATGGGTTAGTGGGAGGGGTGATCGAAGAGATATAAGGAGAGAACGGGCGGGAAGAAGGGGCCTTTGGCGGGAACGAGATTGGGACGGCTGGGGGACAGGTGTGGATGGAAGGGAAGGAATAAAGGACGAGACCCCTGCAATCTGGTGTCGGCTCCTACTTTACACAAACATACTTTGAGCCTTCACATGGACACTCCCCACACC